GGGGCGCGTCATGTCACCCGGGTCCCGGGGCGGCGCGACCTGCCACCCGGGTCCCCCAGCCGAGCACGCGGCCGAGGCTCGGGATCACCGCCGCGGGGCAGCGCAGTTCTGAAAGGCGGTGTCGGGGACGCGGTGGGCGACTCGTGGGACTTAGGCAGCTTTGAGACGGGACAGGTCAGTTCGTAACGCCAGCCGAGGCACAGAGCACTCGTGGTCGAGGCGCTGCGGCCGCCCGGGGTCGACACACTCGGAGCGTTTCGCGCGTTTTAACGCGCGCGCAGGAGCAGGACGCCGGAGCCCCGGCCGCGCGCCGCAGCGCTCGGGGCGTCAGGGACCCGCCTGGGTCTTACTTAAGGGCCGTGTTCGAGGTTTTCGGTGACTCGTTTTTCAGGGCCGGGACTAAGGCCAGGCCAGTGAGAGGCACTTCCTTCGGTTGCAGTGTTTACGGTTTCGGAGGTAGAAAAACACACATCAGTAATCAAAATAAATATTTTAATGCAATATTTTTAAAAATCAAAATTAACGCAGAAAAATCCACGGTGAGCAATATATCAGATTTACAGACGTGGGGTCGGCCCCCGTATCAGCAGCTCCCGCATCTCTTCCCACCCTAACCTCGGCCCTGAAAACTGTACTTACGAAGGTGGGCAGTTAGCAGCTGGCCTGGTTTCCTAGTCTGGTTTTTTAATTTTTTTTTTTTGCATTAAATATAATTTCCTTGATTACTGAGACTTTATAGGATCTCCTTAAATTTCGTCCCCAGGAGCGTGCCTTGCTTACCTCACCCTACTTGGGGCCCTAGTAGGTAAGGAGTGTAGAGTTCTCGAGGGAAGTACCCATCGTTGAAAGATGATATGGCATTAAATGGTGGTTTAAATGTCCCAGTGAAGTGAGCAGGAAGCACAGCACCCTCTTACTCCATGGGAGGCACGCCGCTCCCCCCCAGCGAAGCACACCTTAGGCTAGCCTGTCACTGGTGCCTGTCACCGGCGTCTACATTCTGGAAGGCAGGGTGTAGGTTAAAATCGACACCACTGATACATGAGCAGGCGTGTGCCTTCTGAGGAGACTGCGTTACAAGACTCTGAGCCTCGCCCCACGGCGTGCAGCTCAAACCTACCGTTTGAGCCCAGCCGAAGCAATGTCGAAGAATGACATTCTTCCGGTTGGAAAGGGACAATCCTATCTCAAAAGTAACCTTACTTTCTCTTTCTCACTTTCCAGAAAGCTGTTGCCCCTGCTGCCATGCAGGCGCCGAGCCCGGGCCGGGAACCGAGCACCTGAGGAGAGAGACCCAGGCTCTCGGGGGAGGCGGTGTCTTCGGTGGCTTGGTCTGTGAAAAATCTAGCCTGTCTCTTACCAGTGACGTGGAAGAGCCCGCGAGTTTGCCTGGAGAAACCAAAATTAAAGTCAGAAAGTAAAAAAGAGGTGCGGAAAACGGATGGTGGTGGCGGCCGCCGGCTGCGTGACTGACTGTGCGACACCCCGTCCAGTGGTCTGCACGGTAAGCGAGTTGAGTCTGAAAAACGCGTGACCGAAACAAATTCGAAAGGCAGGATCCGGCCTCCGGGGGGCGTGACCGGCGGGTCGCTGGCTCTCGAATGCTCGAATGCCTCTGAGCTGGAGGAGCAGGTGCACAGCCGACCGTCGGCGCGAAGCAGCCGTCATGCCGGGCTGTCGGGGCCGACCCAAGCCCCGGCTGGCTGTCTGTCTGTCTGCGGGCAGGGCGAACGCCCAGCCTCGGGCTTCCCGGACGCCAGACGGGCCAGTGCAGGCCGCGGGGATCAGAATTACGGGGCTGAACCCGGAAGAAAAGGCTGGCAGCAGGTGAACTCTCGAGTTTGTGGTTTTGTTGTTTTTTTTTTGTTTTTTTTTTAACATGTTTTGATAAAACAATGTCAAGTTCGGGGAGGCCGAGCAGCCTGCTCGGGTCAGCACATCCGTTGCTGAAGCTGCACTGTGCACAAAGCCTACTCCGGAAACCGAGCAGCGGAAACCAGTCGGAGTGGCCCGTGACGCGCCTGATTCACGACCGACCGCCCTCCACCTCCCTTTCCTCCTTCCTGCCCCTCCTGAAAGGGCCAGTCCCCGGGGCTGCTGCCCCCAGCCCCACCCTCTCTCCCTGGCCCTGCCCCGTCTCTGCCCCTCCCCTCTCCTGTCACCAGAGGGCCCCCGTGCAGCATTGTCCAATTTGCATGTACCGGCTTCATTAGTGGGCCATGAAATTAGTGGCTCGTGACCAACGTTAAAATATATATATATATCACAGTACATCATGTGGTTTTTATGAACTACACTCTGCTGAGTCGAAAATGTAATTTAAAAAAATTGTTTTGAACATTTCAGCGAGGAGGGAGGGATAGGACTTACAGCTGGATGGCATTTTACGAGTGCCACCGGCCAGGCGGTAGTTGTGACACGGAGGACTTCGTCAGGGCGACCACGCGTTGGTTCGGTCAGTAAAATATTTAAGGACAATGTAAGGAAGGACAAAGAAGCCTGGTTGTCTTTTGAAAGCCAGTTGACGCTTAAGAGGAAGAGGGTGCAAGAGGGATGTCAGGGGTGTGGGAGAAAACCGGGGGGCGGGGGGTGCTCTTCAGATGCCCCGCAAACCCGTTTCTGAGGGCGCGGAAAGGAAACCTCGGATTCTGCCTCACAGAGCTGGACTCGGTGTCAAGAAGTTTCAGGGAAACCAAGAGCAGAATACTTCACTTAGATTCTGAGAACTTGAGTCTAAAAGTGCTTTAAATAAATAAAATGAAACTTCTCAGTGATAAGAAAACGTGTTTATCATTTGATGACAGTTTAAAAAATGGAACATAAAGTAATGGTGCCCCTCCCCTCACCAGTGGAGTCTGAGACTCACTATGACCCGGTGTCTGTGCGTATGAGGTCACGGTGCGAAGCCCACTTTTTACTGTGGGTTGAAATGTATGACTTTGAGAGCCTCTGCTTAGGGAACTTTCACAAAAACAAGCAAATAGGCAAACGAAACCATTCTTTCTTGAAGCCACGCATCTCCGTCTCTGTCTCTCCCCGCTTCTGTGTCTCAAGAGCAATCTGCACCCCGAGCTCCCCTTTCCACGCCATCAACGTTTTACCTTGAGACGCTTTGAACGTAATGATATAAAACTTGTCTGTGCCACGTAACGAACAGTTCCTAGGTGCAAACCGGGGCGACCAGCACGTAAGCCAAAAAGCAGGGCACCGCGGGCACTCCACGCCCCTTCCGACTGGGAGCCCCCCACCCACACCCCGACAGCTGTGTTTGCACACAGACCACAGCGCGAGGTGCTGTTCGAGGTGAAGGAACTCTGTGCCGACGGAACTGTCCTGTAGGAATGATCGGTTCCCCTGAAGGGGCACGGACGTCGTTGCTTGTAGCTCTCCCCCGTCCGTTTTTTCTCGTGCTGTATCGTTCCGTGACTCATCGATAATGCATGTATCCATTCATGCATTTACTTTGTTTCCAGCTTCGGGGAGGGATAGACGATGCTGCCACGGAGACTTTCGCGGACGCGTCCTGGCGGATGGCTGCGTGCCACCTAGACCCTGCGGTGGGTTGAAGGTAGCGGGTCTTCCTTCCACTTTGCCGGGTAACACCAGACGCTTCTCAACACAGGTTACGAGTGTACGTGCTCCCCAGGGCCTGAGGGTCCCGACACACCAACACTCAGCTTCGGGTTTCACAGGTGTTGGTCTGGCGGTGTGTAACGGTATCTCATTGTTTTAAATCTGCACCAAGTTGGGGAATTTTTAATTGTTTATTGGCCATTTGGATTTATCCTGTGAAAAATTTATCGTGTGCTTCTCTTTATTACTTTTGCCTTTTTTCCCCAATTGACACACTGATTGGTAGGGATTCTTCGTGTATTTTAGAATTCTGAGCCTGATCTGTTAGGCACTAGTCTCGGGAGATTATTTAAATGTGAATGAACACAATTTAAAGCCATTCAGTGTCTGTCACATGGTCCATATTTGGGAGGCTCAGTAGCTGCCTGTGGCTGGCAGCTGCCTCGCCAGACGGCCGAGGCCGCAGGGCACGCCCGTCCGCACAGCACCGTCTGCAGGACCGGGCAGAGGAGAGGGCTCTCCCGCTGCACGGGGCGGCGCTGCTAGCTCGTCACCGTCACTCCTGTGTCCCAAGTGTCTTCTCGCACTCGCAGCCTGTCTGTTACTTCTTTACGTAGTTCTTTTGATGAATGGATGTTTGTGAATTTAATCGATCTTTCCCTTTTTTGGTTAGGGCTTTTTGTTTCTTCAGAAATTTCTTTCTATCCCAAGGTTATAACAATAGTCTTTTAAATGGTTTCTATGGCTGCCTTCCACCTTTCGGTCTATAATGACCTGAAATCAACATTTGTGCATGGCGAGGCAGGGTCCACGTTCACTGTCCTGCTGGAGAGCCAGCCGTCTCGGCACCAAGCGAAAAGCCTGCCCTTCCTCCATCGCTGTGTCGCCTGTCACGATTTGTTCCGATCACCTTTCCACTTTGCAGTTTCGGGGCAAGGTCCATTTCCATGACCAAACGAAACGGCTTGTGCTCGGCTCGGCGGCCGCCTCCCCACGAAATCCGAGGCTGTTCTCCAGCCCCGCCTCGGTGCGCTGGCACCGCTGACCCCTCCGCCCTGAACGGCCCCCCGGCTCCCGGGACAGTGCGCACCCCGTTTGCTCCCTGTTGGCTGCTCCTCCCGTTTGGCCTGGAAACATTCGAGAAGGTCGAGCCACAGCCTTGGAGTTGCATCTCCCGTCACTGTGTTCCTAGCCCTGGTGAGCACATCTCTCGGGGCTGGGCAGGGGCTAGCAGGAGGGTCTGACCCAAACCACAGAGCTTGGGGGGGGCTTCTGGACCTTCCTAAGTGCGAGGAACGGAACATTAGCACGCACCCCCCGACACTGAGCGGGGTGTCTGGCCTCCGCTGCTGCCGGCCGCAGACATGCCAACCGCACACGGGGGCAGCAACGTCACAGAACGGACGGGCCCTCGGCGGGTGGCGCGTGAAACCCACCTGAGCTCCAGACTGTTACGCGAACCAACAGATTTCCTTATTTTTAAAACTGTTTCTGTCCCCGGTGGCATCCAGCGCTCGTGAGCGCAGCCCCCAGTGAGCACAGCGGCCCGGGGCCCGCCGAAGGTCCCCATAGCGTCCCCATACGGTTCCCTCACGAGCCCCTCACAATGGACAGGTCCTGCCCCCGCCACCCCGCGGCTCA